GACCAAGACACAATCTATTATAGATGAGGAAACACAGATTGGTAATTAGGATTCCACTGTTAGACTCACATAAGGAACACAGATTTGTTACAGTGAGCAAGATGCATCAAAAATACCACTTCCCCATATTTCAGCTAATTCTGTCTGACATTATGATGCTTTTTAATTTTTTTTTGCTGGCTACCATCCTATCTGGCAGGGGTATGGGTGGGTTCTTCCTTGTATATAGTAATGGAGAGACACAGGCCTCCACTTTCCGTCATGGAAGGGTAAGATGGAAAGAGTCTCCCTGTCCTGGCAGTCTGTGTCTGAGCATGTGATTTAAGCTTGGCCAATTGAATTCTTCCCTCAGGCACTGTGAATCAGACATGCAGAGGAGGTTAGGATTCCTGCACAGGATCTACAGACAGAAACATGTTCAGGCCATCCTTGTGAAATGTCACAATGGAACTTCTTGCATTGGCAGTATGGGGCTCCCTTAGCTCATGTTCTCTTCCTCGTCTTGTTTTGTATCCTTCTAATGCTGAGTCTACATGTCCTGCGAATGAATTCCTTTTTTGTTTTTACTTGCAATCAAGAATCATGTCTGATACAAAAATATTACCTCTTTACTAGACTTTAAGAGTATTGCTATTTCAGTTCTACATTGCTCATTGATATAAGTGATAATGGTGGCAGTTACCAACTACAAGCACACACTATGTACCAGATACTATGTGAAGTGAGTACTCATGAGAGTCAGTATTGCCACAGTCACAGATGACAAATCTGAGACTGTTTAATGAAAAACCACACATTGAGGTCATTTTGGTCAAAATCACATGCCTGATTCAAACTCACATTCCTGAAGCAGGATTCAGACCTGAACCTTTTGAGCTGCAAATCAGAACTCATATTAGGATGCTAACGGAGTTCTTCAGAGACTAATTCAATATCGTTGATTGAACTTTAAAAGTGATAGGAGCTGAAATAATATATACATATATTGATACATAAGAAAACATACAAGGTCTACTTGTACATTTTTAGCTGGGTATTTATTGATATCCTCTTATAGTAAACAAATAAAGCATCCTCCACTCCCTGCAAAAAGATCCTTCTGAAACATTTTTTTGCAGCCTCCCAAAAATTAAACTGTAAAAAGCACTCTCTGATTCAGTTGTGACACGTGTCTTTAATACAGTGTTTAATCTTACCCTTGAAGCACTATATCTAAATTCCATAAAAAATTGATATATCCTAACAAGCTTATAAGGTTGATATAGGATTTGCCTCCTAAATGAACCTGAAAGAAAAAATCTCCTACGTATGTGCAATTGTGAGCCTATGTAAAAATTTTTCAGAGGCTGACTTTCCAATTGAAAGGAGGTTCAGATAAATTACTTTAAAGATATGCAAAAGCATATAATTTTTTGTCCAGCACCAAACTAAACCATGAAGGCAATACTTTTAAAGCTATTTCTTAATAACTTTCATACATAAAATGATAAGTATTCACTAGTCATAGTTCATGGTACCTTTTTTCATTAGAAGTAATTGTCATAATACAATGATAATGAGAACTATACTAGCTGTTACTTACTGAGGTTACTAGGTACCAATCTAAATGCTTTATACATCTTGCTTAATTTAATACTGGTAACCCCACTGAGGTTGGCACTATTATTATTGTCTGTTTACAGTCATTGAAAATGAAGCAGAGTGAAACATCTCCCACTCTTTGGTGGTGCGCTATGTTCAAAGGATCTTTGCTCAAAAGAGAGCTTTATCTCTCGCTGTATCTTATGATGAAGTCCACACTCTAAAGCTTAGCATAGTCTTTAAATATCTGGTCTCTACCTACCTACCTCTTTAGCCTCATTCCCTTTCTACCATACCTCCATTCACCTTCTGTGAGAGTAAATTGCTTAATATATTAATAATCCTGCTGCCACAAATGCCCTTTCCTCAACATCTATACAGACAAGACCTATTCACCCTTTAAAACTCAGGTCATCTCTGAAAAGCCTTTGATGACATTCTAGTTAGATTTAGTGCCACCCTTCTATACATATTCCTTTTATAAAATATATCACACTGTAATATACCCATTAAATCTTTGTCTACTTTTCCCACTAGATTTTAAGCTCTATTATTTGTTTTGGTATCCTCAGTGTCTAACACAGAACCAAGTATGTAATGGGCACTTAAAAATTTCATTTTATGGAAATTAACAGTAATTAGAAAGAAATTTTATCCTTTGGGAAAATGAATCTATTTTTATACATCTAATGTTAAACACAAACATAAGGAACAACATGTTCTCTCATCAAATGTTATTGGTTGATAAATTTTTGGATTAATGATAATTGGACCCAAAAACGTAAAATTTACTATTAGTGCAAAAATTACACGGTAAAAACTGAAGTAGCCTAGACTCTCAGCTACTTCATTATACAGTTAGACAGGGCAGGTCATAATTATTTAATTTGTTTTTAAATCTCAACCGGGGAATGTTTTAAATGAACATTTAAATGATGTAAATAATTCTAGCAGAAGGGAAAGTCTTTGTAGACAAGTCTATAAACCCAATATTTACACACTTAATTAGCACACTATCGTGCTAGTCATATCCCAATAGGTGTTTGGACAGGAAATCTCATTCTCTAAAGATACATTTTCAGTCATTTTTACCATAAATGAGTAAGATTATCAATTATTTGACATGCCATGATCATAGGATGTACTTTCTAATATATCCTCTGGTGGTTTATGTGGACACTGACCCATAATAAGAAAACATATATATATATATATATGTATATATATATACACACACACATATATATGAAGCACACATTTTGGGGTTTGTTTATCCGTGATAATCATTACTCATGAAACCAGAAATAGACTTTCAAATTATATGGTGAGCTTTTTCACATTGTAGATGAGGAAACTGAGGCCCAGACAGGTGAAAAAAAGTATTGCAAATCTGACAGCTGATTAGCAATGGAACCATGATGACAGGAGAGGTCTGTTGCCCCCAGTCCAATGCTCTTCTTGCCACTACTTCATGACAATGCTCTGTCTGTGAGATTGTGTTCTGGCTTACAACCTCCTACTCATTACATTGAACCATAATACAAGGACCAAGAATACAAGTAATGGGGTAAATACAGAAGAAATTCAGGTTTTTTTTTTTTTTTAATTGATAAACAAATACCTCTATATGTTGTGGGAAGAAAAACAACAGCTAGATTGTAAGTCTGCAGCAAGCCTGGCATGTTGGAAATGAAACAAAAGCCTTTCTTCATATAACTAAATTTGAGAGTGTGAATAAGCTAAATTTTCCCATCTGCAGACTCTCAGACTAGACGAGACTTACAAATTAATATGAGTGTATAGGTCTGGGGCCTTAGGAAAATTAGGTCAGGTCTAAAAAGGAATCAGGTGCTGACCACAAGTCAGCATTTTAATATGAATTCAAAACAAAGGGCAGAGATCTAATGCTGTAATTTACTGAACACCATTAAGATGATGACATATGATGTGATGAGGAAGCCTTCAAGACAAAGTTATAGAGAAGAAAACAATATTGAAAGATGGAAAATGTTTTAATCCACATACAATTCAGACCCTGATCCTCCTTTTAACCAACTCTTCTCTCTCTCTCTTTCTCCTTCTCTTTCTTACTGGATCTTATTTTTACCGAAGATATTTTTGCTTTCACTCGGCAGTTTTATTTCCCCATTTTCTTTGTTTCCTAGAATTGAGGACCCACAACTAGACATTTAAAAGTGCTTTGATAAAGAAGATAAGAAAATCACTCTAAGATAAAAATTATAAGAACACATCAGTTGTTTTGTGTAGCTCAGAAATAAAATTGGGATGTGAAGAGGTATTTTTAATAACCTGGACAGGAGATTATTCCCTTCTACCTGCTTTCCTAAGGTCTCCAGCTCTTCCTCCAGTGCTGCCTTTGAAGGCTCTGTATATGTCCTTTGCTGAGAGACTGCCATTTATGAGGGCCAACACAGGGATGTTCCAAATATGTCCAGCCATTTAGTGCTGGTACGAAAAGTTTGGGCATTTTTCTCTCTTGGGAGTCTCTTATGCAAAGGTCTGAACTTCTTGCAAAAGTTCAAGATCGATTTTTGGTGGAGAAGATAAGTGAAGGATTTTCTAGCCAACTAAGAAGCAGATTCTTTTGATTAAATGTCAGATTAATAAAAAAAAATTCTACATAAGGGACTGTGACAATTCTCTAAAGGGTATGACTGTGAGAAAAATGCAGATATTTTGGGATAGAGAGTTATAATTTTGAGAATTTTCATTTTCTATAAATTTACTGTGGTTGACATAAGTTTAAAAATGTGTTCATGTGCATAATGTTTCAAATTCATTTATGCAGATTATGTAACACTCGAAAAATCTCCCTTAAATCCCCATGTATTATGGGGACTCACAACTATAAATTATGCTTGTAAATATCCAGCCCTTTCTACCATCACAAATTCTCAAAGTGTGCTAAATGTGAAGAGTGTGTTATTATGTTTACTTTCATTCTCACTCTCTCTTTTTAAAGGGAAGGATGGTAGAATATCTTTTCTATTAATATACCACCTCAAATATAAGTGATCATTTTCTTATTAGTTAAGATATTGTAGAGATAGGCCATAGGCCAGTTTCCCAGTGATTTACTATTACTAGCCCTGCATAGGAACATTTCAAGACAAGACTGAACATTATTTATCTAAACACTTCTACAGCCAAACTGGTTATTTTGATTATATACAAAATTTATTAGTTTAACCCATTAATTTTCAAAAAAAATGTAAGGTTGTTCCAGAAAACCTTATTGAAATAAATTGCTTATATCATGGATTCAAAAACAGAAATTAATTAGACAAATTGACAGTAAGAAGAAATATATTTATAGACTTGTCTTTCACTTCCTCCAAGTTCTTGATACTCTTTTTTTAAATTTAAAAATGGAAAATGTGACAAATGTAAGCCCTTACCAACTTCCCACTTCAGAAGGCTGTTGTCTTCCCTCTCCATTTTTCCAATGACATACCAGATACACGCCATCCAGTGTGCAAGGAGTGCAAACATGGACATGAGCAGAGTCAGGACGATAGTACTGTGTTGGGAATAGCGGTCTAACTTCTGCAGCAGACGCAAAAGACGCAAGAGTCGCACCGTCTTTAGAAGATGCACAAGAGACACCTGTGGTAGGAGACAGAGCAGCACAACTTGGTGCATGTGTTAAAGTCATACCACAACATTAACTTGGAGCCATTCTAAAAATTCTGGAAATGAAGTAGAATTATTTTAATATTATTATTTTTATGAATTGTCTTTGTTCTTGATACATTATATCAGAAAGTGATAGAATTAAAGAGGTTGGAATAAAGGACAGGATAGGAAGGATAATTTAATTTCTTTGAATAAATACCTTTCTTAATTAGGGGTTATCGTTTTTTCACTCCCTGTCTGATTTCATACTGTAGTTTACATTCTGATACACAACTGAAACACATTATGGTATCAGAATTGTACATATCTCGAATCCCCTATACATATTTCTTTTCAACCCCGCATTCCCTTCTCTGTGTAAGGAAATTGCTTTATAATAATAATTCAGACAAATTGAAGTAAATGCATAGAAAGTGATAATAAAAATACCTTAGAGTTTATTTTTTAAAATAGGTAGACCCATAAAACTTGAGTAAGTTCTGCTCACAAATACCAGTAGCATCTTCTGCCTCATGTACTATACCTCCAACATTATCAACGGAGAGAGAAAACATTTGCCTGAAGCGCTCTCTCTCTCTCTCTCTCTCTCTCTCTCTCTCTCTCAGTGCTCTCTTAAACATGCTTAGGGAATTAAAATGAAAGGGACAAGAATTTCTGAAGAGTCTCCTAGTGCCTTTGCATCCACTATAGCAGTAGAATTGTATCTGAGGGGTTATTTTATTGACTTCAGGGTCCAATTGAAAAATGTGCATCATTGGTGTGGACCAGAATGGTCAATAACACCATTAATAAGGGGTGTACATAACACACATTCTTTTCATACCTTCAAAGAACATTCTAAAATGGAAACAACAAATAAAACATTAAATCATATGGAAATGCAGTTTGACAGATTTCTTGATGTCACCTAATTTCTTTGGGGAAAGCATAAGTAGAGAAGGAGTGACTTTTTACGCTTTAACTAACTGCACTCTTTCCTTTACAAAACTTAATCAGACACAAGGTCAGCATTGGGAGTTTGCTTTTGTATTTATCTAAAGTCAGTTGACTTCTAATTCTGTCCTCTGCTAGCCATATTCTCTTATCTCTAAGAAAAACAAACCTAGAACAGTGCCTGACACATAGAAAATGCTTAATAAATATTTATTAAATGAGTGAATGAATAAATTATCAAGTTAAGATGCAAACATGCCAAGCTCAGCATAGAAATTGATACTCAACAAAATTATATTCAGTTGTAATCTTGTGAATTATTCTATACTCAAATACAGTAAACTCTTAAGGGCACTTGAAGAACTTAACAGCTAGCTTTGCTCTTTTATTTCTTTTTGTCATTCTCCTGTGTCAAGTTTTACTTTCTTCTCCTTTATAGCTAAGTTCTCATCTATCATTTCTCAAGCTGGTGGTTAGCCAGATGGTCGGAGGCCAAGATTTGTAATCTCTATTCTGTTATTTAAATATATTACTGGGGATGGAGTTTATTTTACAGGTAGATGAATTTGATGGTTAGGTGACAATTTGGAAGTGAAATGAAACTGGAACGGAAGTCCCAAATGGAGGCAGGCATCTGCACACATAATTTTGATACAGTCTCCCCATTTTCTCTGCCAGACAGAGGATGTTTGAGCAAAGAATGTGGAGTTGCTTGTACATGAGGACAATAGCCATTTGCAAATATTAGGAACATGAACCTTGGTGTCCAGACGACCCAGATAGTTCTATGTTCATTCTTAAGTCAATAAAAACTGGCATTAAAAAAATTATGCTTGCTCCCATCAGAGTCAATAGCTTCTTGCTAAAGTTTTAATGTTGCCTCTTGAAGAATGATAGGAGAAAGAAGCATATTTGACTTAGATGGCAATATGTATCTGAAAAGGGAGAGGATTCTTTTGACTCCTTGGATGCTGTTTCAAATTTGTCACTGATGAGAACTGTAAGCTACTCATAGACAGGTGCATTCATTGAACCCCCCTATCAAATGTGAGTTTCCCTTTTTACCAAATGGTTATGACCACCTCCTAGCTATCACCCAGAAGGGAGAAAGAGAGAGAGAGGAGGCTAACTAACATGTTGTGAGGTCTTCCTAGGTTTTAGACATTTAGAAAAACATTGTATAGATATGTGGCATTTTTAGTCTGGTCAAAAACTCTGTAGGAATTATATTATGTCCATTTTACAGACATTTTAGTGTTAACTTCCCCAAGTAAGTTACTCAGATGGTAAGTGATAGAACTTGGATTCATACTTCTGCCCTTTCTACTCTATCAACCTTCCTATGTCTTATTCATAATTTTATCTCTTGTAAGTGCCTTTTACAGTGATATACATACTAGTTTTCAAAAAGCATGTGATCTCTACTTAAAAGAACTGCCATGAGCAATTGTGAGCAGAGCCAAAGCCAAAGCTTATGCAGTTCTGAATGTCACCTATGAAGCTGCATTAACTGGACACATTTCAGATTTGGGAGACAAACACATTTTGTTATTTATTTGTTTCTTTTTTTAAGTCTTTGTTGTAAAAGAGCATAACCCATAAGTTATTCCTCATAACTTACATTTGCCTGAGAAGAAAACATAATACCTTGAAAAAGCTTTTCTGTTCAAATATTACAGAATATTTTGTCCTGACTAACTTGTTTAAGAGGGATAATGAATTTAGGTGCCAGCTTTTTCAATGCTCATATGCTCACTCCTGTGAAAAGCAGAACAAGTATCAGTGAAAACAGATTTCTTCCTTCCCCTTTTTCTTTTTTTTTTTTGACATAGATGTTGCTCTATACCTTGTATTAGCATTTGTGTTAGATTACATAAGATTGATGAAAAGAGAGCAGAAGTGTAGTGAAAGTATATAAATATTTAAAATTCGTCAAACATGCGAATTAGACTTTTAAGACATTTCTTCATCCATATTAATTTTGGGGAATGAGAATGCTAATGATATGAAAGTGTATGTTATATATACCTATAATGTATATTATATATGCATATTTAAAATATCCTATTTGCTCAGTACTCAAATAAAAATGGGACATAAAAAATGTAATCATTTTTAGTAGCAAAGCAGCAAATTAATTTAAAATGGAATTGTATTAAATAATTAATGAACAATTTAAAACAATTTGCCAGGGGAATTTGGAAATTTTTTTAACCTTTTGTGAATTACGTGCTTATTCTGCAGTCTTGCAAAAACGTGGTTTTAAGCCATTACTGTTTCATGATGGTACACTTATCTAGTCAAATTCAATCTTAAAAAGCACTGTAGAAAGCCTGGATAACAATTCAGTGTAGCAGTGATTGATATATACTAGATTTTTCCTGGGAGCTTTCCTTTCAGTTGAGTCACAAACGTTTTAAAGATGTTGGCACTATCAACTTCCCAACTTAAAAAGAAAAAGAATAAAAAGAAACTATTGTACAGGCAATTAACAAATGCACAAGTCTGCACTAACAAGTCGGGATCACAATTCTACATTCATTCTGAAGTTAATAATAAATGTATTTGAAACTGTGATTATTGTGTGTAATATTTAAAACTATGCCTTTAAATTTTTGAAAGAGAATATGATTTCTATGAAGCACTGTCAATTGAATAGAATATCTGCTTAATTTGAACTAATGTTTAATAAATTTTTACATGCCATAATTGGTTACTCTAGCAGAAAATTGCATTACTGCTTCACAAATGGCCTCCCTAAAAGTTTCTTTATAAGGGAGCATTTAATACTTTTAAGAATACCAATCATCATATTATAAAAATGGCTACTACTACAAGTGATATGCTTTCTGTCCTGTGAGGCTACATGAGGGTAAGGGATTTAGAGCAAGAAAAAGAAGGTACCAAGATTCATGCAAATTCAAGAGAACTCTCAAGTTTTACATTAGTCATATCATTTAGGTTTTTGCTACATCCAACAGTTTTACAAGGACTTCTAAGAAGTGGTTGAATTCCTTCATTTAAAATCAACAGTCCTCTCTATCTTGATCAGTCTTCAGTCGGTTTTGCCAATGAGTAACAAAATACTAAAGAAACAGAGAGTTAAGGGTCATAAAAGCAGAAAAAAAAATCTTCAAACTCTCCAGCAAATTCTTGAGACAAGTATCTGCCTAGGTAATATAAAGTGATGCTTAAATTCCTGCAGATGATTTCCTTCAAGTCTGTATAGTATTTTCTATATTCTTGAATAAGTAAATGTAATATGGGAAGAAATCCATTAATCCTCAGATAAATCGGTAAATATAAAGCAATTCCAATTAAATCCTTATGGAATTAAAAAAAAAAGAATTTGTTTAGTGGGTCAATATTTAGGATAAATTCAGCATTTCTGTGTTTCTTGGCTCTGGGTATTTATAAAAGCAAGAACAGGTAATATGAATGTCAAAAGGAAATAACTTCATCAGCTGAAGAATCTGGCCTGCATATCACTGGGCATCAGGGTATCTTTATTGAAGAAGGTACAAAACCCTGGAAGCAGAAATCGCCACAACCATTTAAAACCTAAACATGGGAAAAATAAATCAACCTTAAAGGCCATGTGGCGGGGAGTTCTTTACTCACCACTGTGACGTTGAAAGCATACAGGAGATCAAAAGGCAGGGCAGCGATTAAATCAATGATGAACCAGGTTGTGACATAGTGGATGCAAATTGATCTTGCTTCAAAGATAACTTGGCCAGATTTGCTGACATAAGTTGTTCGGAAATTTAAAATAATATCTGCTTGGGAAAAAAAAGATGGAGAAATAAAAGGAAGAGACAGAGAAGAAGAGAGAAGGTAGGAAAGACAATGAAAGAAAGAAGAAAGGAAGGGAGACAGGCAGGCAAGCAAGCAGGAAGGAAGGGAGGAAGAAAATTGTAGAAAATTAAATAAAATTAGGCAAATGGCAACCACTTAGCCTAGTTCAGATTGATAATATCCAAAATATTCTCCTCTACAGATCCGGTTCAACTCAACAGATACTGAAGAAGGGTGAAAGAAGTAATATTTTCTCAGCACATAAGATGTTCCAGACATTAAGCCACATGTTAAGATTATTAAAATAAATAATGACAGCAATAGCAACAATAGTCATCACTTACTAAGTGTTCACTATGTACCTGATACTGTTCTAATAGCTTGGCATAGGGTATTTCACTTATTCCTCAGTACATCTCCTGAAGTAAACAGTGTTACTCTGATTTAAGAGTCAGAAATCAAGTCTCAGGAAGAAAAAGTAGTTAATCCAGAATAATATTGCCAAGAGTGGTAGAGTCAAGTTTTAATACAGATACAGGCCGGGCATGGTGGCTCATGCCTGTAATCCCAGCACTTTGGGAGGATGAGGCAAGAGAATTGCCTGAGCTCAGAAGTTCGAGACGAGCCTGGGCAACAAAACGAGACCTCATCTCTACTAAAATTCAAAAAAATTGGCTGAGCATACTGTCACATGTCTGTAGTCCCAGTTACTCCAGAGACTGAGGTGGGAGAATCACTTGAGCCCAGGAAGTTGAGGCTTCAGTGAACCATGATTGCACCATGGCACTCCAGCCTGGGCAACAGATTGAGACCCTGTTTCAAAAACAAAAACAAAAACTCCCACTAAATATAATCTTAAGTCTGTATTCCTTATTTTATGTAATATTATTTCCATGTATAAAAGTTTTACTAATCTCTGTGTTGATATGGAATTCAGCCCTGCCCTGAAGGCACTCCTATTAAGAAAGTACTGGTAGGTTCTTGTGTGAATTTCTAGGTTAAATTCTACTTTAATGAAAGATGTAATTGCTTTCAATCTTTCCCTGCATCATTATTTAGTCATATATTACCGAGTGTTTTACAATATATGAGGTCTCCTGAGTGCTGATCAAATGACATCCCTATGAGCTTCCAACAGCCCTATGAGCTTGAAAGAAGACCCTGAGCACCAGAAAGGAACACAACTCAGCTGATACTTTGATGTCAGCCTTTTGAATCCTGATTGGAGGATCCAACTAAGCCATCCCTGGACTTTTGACATATAGCAACTGTGAGATAGTAAGTGGATGTTGTTTTAAGTTGATAAGTTTGCTATGCAGCAATAAAAACTAACACAATACTTATGTCATTTGATTCTCAGGATAGCCTTGTGAGGTGAAATACACAGGAGTCATGACAAGGCAGATTAGTATTAATGTAGATAACATATAGGTTCTTAGTATGAGCCCAGTGCAGTTCTAAGTCCCTTATCATCGTAATCTCATTGATGCCTTACAACAACGCTAAGAGGTAGTCATTTCTATTATCTCCTTTTACAGATGAGGAAATTGAGGCATAAAAGAGGTCAAGTGACTTGCCCTGGGTGATACATCTGATAAAACTGAAGCACAGGATTACATCTTCCAACAAGTTAGTGAAAGAGCAAGACTCAAATCCAAGTCTCCTGAATTCCAGTTCAGGACTTGGGGTTGTGGTATCTTCACAGAGACTAGTCTCATCACAGATCTGGAGGCAAGTTCTGGGTGACCCAAAAAGAAAACAATCGTTGTTCTAGTCTATTGTGAATGATATAACTTTTAAAAACTGAATTATTAAAAGTGACTTTTTTGTCAAAAAATAAAAATACCTAGATAATTTTATTGTTAATATTGAGAACACGAAAGAATGAAGCTAATTAATAAAGCACTCACATAGGATAAGAACAATCCCAGGTGAATTCCACTGCACAGTTAAAACGCTATGGTGGCAAAGCACCACCGGACCATGGAAGCATGGCCACCGTGAAGGAAACAGGTCAGTGGAATGCCGTCAGACTGTAAGAGTAGCACGTGAACGTTCATTCTTCCTCTTTATCTTTCTAGGCTCATGTACTTCCACATTAGCAATGCAATTTAGTACCTCAGACCACCCACTTTGAAATAAAGCAAAGATTTCAATTTCACGTTTTCTAAAAGGAAGCACAGGTGAATCATTTAAACTCTCATGAGTAAGGAAACCCAGAGTTGTTTATTGAGCCCATTAGTGATGTTTGGTTTCCACAATATAGGCTAAGGCAAGCCCATAAGTTCGTTATAAAATTAAAGGGGATAAATTCCTTGAATAAGTGGCCATGAGATCTACCACAGTTTTCACAGAAAGCCCATTGCCATCGTCCATATACATACCAGCGGCACTCCCATGAATGGAAGAATGAATGAAGTGAATGACCTATGGTTGATTGATACAGCAACATTTTTAAAGCTATGTGGTTAGTTATGTGCTTGACTAAAGAACAAAATAGTGGTTCAGACTTCTGAAAAAAAAAAAAACAGGTATTTTCTTGGATAAGTCATTATAGAATATTAGTTTAAAGAGCTTTTTAAAAAACAATTTATTATTCAATTGAGTTAATGGAATGAAAAGAAATATGCTAAATTTAGGTTTAAAAAGAAGTAATTATAAGACTTTTATACACAAAGAGATAATAGTAAAAGAATAAAAGATTTTCAAAAATCTATACAAATCTATGTTTGACATACTTGAAAACTTTTTGGTTTATTTTCACGGGGAAAACTTAGATATATATTATTTTCTAAGATTTCTAGGTCTATGGTACACTTATAAAGTGTATGGTACACTTGCAAAGACTGTATGTTTATCCAATCAATATTATTTTTTGGTAGCTGATTTCAAAGCAAATAACTACTTTTGTCATACTCATAAGAACAGACATAGTTCTGGTATATTTACAAAACACTTTTTCACATTCATTAATTTGAATATTTCCCATGCCATCCTCTCAGGTGGACTGCTGTCATTTGCATTTTAACAATGACACAGGAGATTTAAGTAAATTGTTTGAAGTCATGCAGATAGTAAGCAACAGAGACAGAGGATGTCTTTTGACATTCAATCCCATTTTCTTTCCATTATCTAAATGATTACTGCACTTCTAAATATATTTTAGAAGAAATAACAATAGGTCAGTGCAAGGAAATGCATTTCTGATTGTAGTCCTTCGATCAAATTCAGTATCAGCACTACCCAGGTAAAATAATATTAAATTAGGGTCACAGAATTAAATGTGGTGAGATGAACTGTCTTTGATTCTGGAAGTACAAGGGCTAAGCTTTTGTTCAGGGATAACAGAGAAGTCTCTCTGTTTTCTATCCAGTGGTGAGGATGTGGTGGTGGTGTTCACGAACCAGGATAACTCAATGTTTATAAATATTTCCTTCCATTTAAGAGAACTGTAGAGATGGTAAGTACAGGTTCTTCTTTGAAAGTGAAGGAAGCACAGAATAAAAAGATTGTGATGAGGAAGAGCTTTCTAGATCTGGTGTCCCTCATGACAGAATCATAGAAACAGAGTGGAGCTTCACAAACACTGAATGCAGCTACTCCTCCCCATGTAGCTGTCTCACTCCCTTTAAGATTTTTGTTTTTTTGGCTAATTACATCAACAATTTATTTAAATATTACAATAAGAATGTGATCTCCAGACAATCCATAACCTATCTGAAAAGCAGCAGTATAACTTTCATTTTTGAGAGTCTAGAAGCATAAGTATAATGTTTTTCAGCCTTATGTTGAAAAAATACATAGAAGTGTATTCACTAATATCTACAGTTTTATATGTAATTTTCTGGTTAATATCATTTATGATCAATTTGCACAATTGTCCATAAAAGTACAAAACACACACACATATACACACAGTTTAAATTTTTAAGAAATTTCAAAATCCATAACAAATTAACTCAAAAGGATTTTTCATTTAGAAACCTTAATGTCTCCATGTGCTTACATATGCATAAACGATCCTTTATGGCACCAATGAGTAAATAAGCAGGGTAATGCAGAATTACCATACATACTCTATGTGGTTTGTAGAATTTCCAAAAAACTCATCATAATATACCCACCCAAAAGAAGCAGAATATAATTGAATTATCTAATGCTTCAGATGACAGTTAATTATTTTGCAGAGTGATCAGTTTGCCTTATTGTATTTGAGTTTTACATAGAATGATTAATAAAAGACAAAGAATCAAGAGAAAAATGTGTACATATTCTATTCCATACTGTTAAGGCAGCCAAAAGTGAGTATTTCACTTATATCCCACACTAAATGTCTATTTATGTGGACTAAAAAGCAGAAAGGTTAAATCCATTTTTTTCTAGTTTGATTTCCTGAAGAACTATGTAACTAAAAAGCACAAAAAAAAAGAAGCTAAATTTAATATGGCATAAATTAGTAGGTTTCTTTACTTTATTAGCATGCATGACAGATGGGAAATAATTTTAAAATCATATTGGCTTACTTGTTAAAAAGTAAATTAAAATACAATAGTGTGCATGAAAGCATATGCACCACATACAAATAATTAACGTCTTCATTTAGCCATTTCTTTAAAAATTAATCAATGTAGTACAGTGTGGGTGGAGAGATATTTAATTAAACCAGCTGCCAACTAATATTCAAAGATACTCTGTTTTTTTCATTGCTTATGAGGCACTCTTTCAAACACAGTACAATATCACAGCAAATTTGAGCTAGAAGGTGTGGGACGAATGAATAGAGAGCTGATTAATGAAGAGAGGCTTGAGGGACTAACAATCCTAAGAATAATTGCAATTGATTGCCAATATTAGTGGATAAGAGTTTCATATCACTTGACCGTTGCTCATCTTGTCAGATTAGTCCCTCTTGCTTACCTGAAGTGAAAGATTAATGGAATAGAAAGAGTAGCAGGCCCAGTGAGAAACAGTATTTAAGAACAAC